TATATATATATATATAGAGAGAGAGAGAGAGAGGTGGCCCCCCTTTTATTTTTTAATTATTAAATAAATAAATATTATATTCTAAAAAATGAAAGAAAAATAGAAAATAAATACCTCAAGGGTAATAAAGTCATTTTATTTTACCGCGGGACCAAATGTACAATGAATCTAACTCAAAATGTGACAACCGTCAAATTTTGGTCAAGTTAAGTCAACAAGACAACTCAGTAGTACTTGTATATTAGGGCTTACACTATGTTCCTAATGTATAACTTGCCATTTTAATACAAAGTATCACTCGAAAGTTTCGTCAGTCCCAAACATCTAAACCCTAAATAGGGTGATAAACATAACAACTTGGTAAACACAACTATGGATCCTTTGGGGATCAATAACACTCATAACAAGGGATAGTGGAGTTTACAATCCTAACACTACGGGGCAAAACCATAACACATGTCGCAAACACAATCTCTCTCTATATCTCTCTGTCTCCCAAATCTCTCCCAATCTCTCCCAAATCTCTCCCAATCTCTCTTGGTAATGAAAAACACATTTTTTCAACTTTTCTATGAACATCCATATCATCCCAGACCTTCCCTTGGTCGATAACAGCTCAAAACGGAAGAAGGAAACCAAAAAGGCCAAGGAAGGTTCGCAGGTTACTGTTCACCTGCGAACCTTCACAGGCATTCACAGGCCCCACCTCCGAGAAGTTTCGCATGACTCAGTCACTTTTGCATCTCATCCGGATAGATTCGCATCCCAAACTGAGAACGTTCGCATCTTACCCGGCAAGTCTCACAACGAACCGACGACTTTCGCACTCGGCCCGGAGACTTTCGCTTTTCCATCCGACTTTCGCATCTATCCTGAGTTTCGCAGCCTCCACCCTCTCGCAACGAACCTCACTCTCGCAGCGAACCTCCCTCTCGCAGGTCAACCTTAGTATTGGTTTTTCACTAATCTGGCCCCAGCTTTATTATGCATACATGTATATATGTAACTAGTTTATAACCCGTGGAAACCACGGTTATTAAATTAGACGAATATTGATAGTTCAAATTCATAATCCTTGATCAATTAAATGACAATTTTGTCCTTGGATGAAACCTATAAAAACATATACCAATGTAACCAATATTAACAATGAATTATATAAAATAT